CAAAGAAAACAAACAGTGAACCGTAAAACTCAAAATATCAAAATAAGCAAATATCTGAATTCAAAACGAAAACTTCCTCTATTGGGATTTAAAAATAAAATTATAAAAAAAATAAAAATATAAATGAGAAAAAAAATAAATAAATAAAAATAATAATAAAATAAACTACAATAAAAAAAATAAATAAAAATATGAATAATAATAAAATTAAGGGCCATGTAAAAATTTAAAGAAAATGTAAATAGCTTGTTCAGAGCAAAAATCTCAAAAAAAACTAGAACGCAAAAATAGTTGTTTTATGAAAGTAATGAAAAATAAAACAATTTATTTATTATTTTTTTTCAATATATATTTTTTTTTTGTTATCAAAGCAAAAAACGCGTATTTACTTTTTATAAAATGTATGGACATAAGTTGGTGTGTGAGTGGTACTGCCGTAGGCAGAGGTCGTAGTGGGTATTTCTCGTACGTACGTCTACTGTCCCTTGTCAATGTCAACTAGGATCACATCAAATGGTGGTGCACTTGCAAACTGCAGGCACTCACACCTAATGTCTGGCTGCTACTCCATCTGATGTGATAGATTCCCCCTGAAAGTTTTCGATAAGCCTCACGAACTTACGATTTCGAACCATATGCTCAGTAGCTTGAACCTATTCAATACGAAGACTACACAGTTCTTACTTCTGAATGTCACTGCTCAGATTTAAAATCCATCGCAGGTACTCCAATAGAAAGACTTGTGTTCCCCCCTTTACATCTTTCACCTAGCACAATCAACCAAGCAAAATGAACTTTAGCTGAGATGCCGAGCGAAAACCTGAACTTTCCGAAAAGAAAAGATATAATAAAAGCAGAGAAATAACAAAAATAGAAAAATTACGTCAAATAAACAAAAGGCTGGTCTATATCGTTGGGCGCCATTGTTCCGTAGTATGCACCAAGATATAGCTCCACCTTGGAATGTGAAGATATAGCACGTAGTCGACCGTCTTTGATCGAGGTCACTAATCAATCGGCGTCGCAGAAACCGGAGATATCGCTTGCTCCTTTTGTAAAAACAAGCCCTTCGTCGATTGTCCCTTTGAGATACCCATGACACGTTTTATGGCACACCTATGTGCCTTCCCTGGATTGGTAGAATACCTGCTCAGAAACTTTACCGCGAAGCAAATATCTGGACGGGTTATTTGAGCAGCAAAGAGCAAACAGCCCACAGCTTGCATATACGGAATCTCTGCCATGTCGCGCTTTTCGCTTTCGGCGGTTGGACTCATTTTGGAGCTTAGCTGCTGATTCATATCGATGGGCGTTGAAACTGGGTTGGAGTCGTCCATTCTAAAACGCTTCAGCACCTCCTTTATGTACTGTGATTGGTCGATCTTGATTGTACCATTTATGTTGTCCCTGGTGATGCGTATGCCTAACACTGACGAAGCTTCGCCGACATCCTTCATCTTGAATTGTAACGAAATTTCCTCCTTCAGCTTTTGTACGGATTTAATGCTGTTTGAAAACAACAACACGTCGTCTACATACACAGCCGCAAACAGTTTTTTGCTGCCATCAACCCAAGACTTAACAAAACACCATTGAACTTTTCGTTCCAGAGTCTGCTAGACTGCTTTAGCCCATAGAGGGATTTTTTAAGTTTGCGCACATGCCCAGAGCCATCGTCAAAACCGTCGGGTTGTCCCATGTAAATTTCGTCTTTGAGTTCGGCATTCAGGAAAGCAGTAACTGCATCCATTTGATGAAAAAGCAAGTTGTGTCTTGCAGCAATAGCGAGTAGTAGACGTATAGAAGTATACCTAACAACAGGTGCAAATGTCTCGTCGTAATTTATGTCTCTCTCTTGGCTGTACCCTTCTATGACAAGCCTGGCTTTATGTCGTATCAAGTCACCATGAGCATTCGTTTTAGTTTTGAAAACCCATTTTGACTTTAAAGCTTTCTTACCTGTAGGTAACTCAGCCAAAATCCATGTCTTATTTGACTGCAGCGAGTCCATTTCGGCGTTGATATCCATCTTCCAATCTTCTTTGACGGGGCCGGATAACGCTTCACTTAAGGTTTCTGGATCTGGCGCCAGATATTCAGTGGCATACAAATTATGCTCCCCTCGCTTACCTGCCAATCTCTCAGACCGCCTCGGCACACAATTGTTCACGTTGTCACCTTCTAGCTCTTCATCGGCGCTTTCGAAGTCACATGAATCTGCATTGGGATTTTCTGCTGCTACAGCGTCTCCTTGCGAGGTTTGATTGCCTGATTCCTCTACGTTCGATGATTCTATATGCTCTTTCTCCTCTGAATTGAGAACGTCTGACGAATCTGACACTACATGCAAAAAATGTTTACTGTCTTAATTATTAGTATAATGTTCGCTAAAAACGACGTCGCGGCTTATTGTAATTTTTCGCGTTTTCGGGTCATACAGTCTATAAGCTTTTGACGTACTACAATACCCAAGCATTATGCATTCTATCGATTTTGAGTACAGCTTCTTGCATTTCTCTTTTGGTACATGCATCATAGCTATGCTACCGAATACACGCATATCTTTTAGACATTGCTTTTTATTTGCCCAGATTTCTTTAGGGCACCGCGAATTCGATCTACACGGAATACGATTTATTATGTAGGTTGCTGTTACTGCAGCTTCAGCCCAAAATTTTATTCTTAAACCTGAGTCAATCAACATGCCCGTATTCTTTCTACAATTGTTCGATTGAGCCTCTCAGCCACAACATTTTGTTCTGGTGTATATGGCGAGGTCGTCTGATGCACAACCATGGACGTAGCCAGGTAGGGGCAGGGGGGTGCTCGAGCCCCCCTAACTTTCAAATTTTCCTTATATATATATAAAATAGTACCCTGAAATGGCAGCTTAATAGGGTCGAGCCCTACTACTACTATTTAAGTAGAGATTGTTGATTAACTTCCATTATTCATTTTCAGATCATACATTTAATCTGCACTTAAATGGCCAATATTGGCTATTTAAATATGAGATATGCAACCCTGTGTTTGTACCAAACAACCAAGATTGATTGGTAGGTTGTTTAATTAATCCCACCAAAAAACAATCAGCTGTTCAGCACAAAATGTAAACAAACAAGCAAATGCAACAACAATTTCAAGGAACAAGTAGCAGCGCTGCCAATTGTTTGGCATATTTAAACAAAGCTGATCTGAAACCCAACGAAAGTTAAATGGCATTTAAACAACAATCGACAATTAAACTTAAGTGCCATTTAAATATTCATTTGAAATCGGCCCTAACTTTTACAAATTCCTCAAAAACTTCTGACTTAATCGGCACCACTATCACTTTTCGCGAGAAATCATCTACGAATGTTACGATATATCTACTGCCTGAGTATGAATTTTCTTGAAAAGGCCCGGCAACGTCAGAATGCACTAAATCAAGCAAACCCTCTGCACGCGTTCCATACTCCTTGAATGGCGCCCGCGTTTGCTTTTTTACTACACATTTGTCGCTTTCGATTTTTCCAAAGTTAATACCGCACGACGATTTCTAAATTTTTTCCAAATTTTCGTTGCAAATATGGCCCATTTTTCTATGCCATAGCGTAAATTCACCACCTGCGATAAATGCATTTTCATCACGTCTGTCTTGTTCGCGGACATTTAATCGATACAAGTCATTTACAGCAGTCGCGTTTGCAATTAGATCTTTTTGTTTTCCAAATATCTTGCATTCGTTTCCTTTTAATATGACTTTATTGCCATTTTTAGTCATTTTGCGGACAGGCAGCAAGTTCGCGCACAGTTCGGGCACATAATCAACGTTTTTAACCAGTGCATCAAAACCCATCGACAAATATAATTTCACATTACCATTTAACTCTACCGGAATGGATTTATTGTTCGCAACCACTGAATTTTTATCTTTTACCGTCTTTGCGTCGTCCATTATATTTTTGTTTTGAGTCATATGCGCGGTTGCACCGGAGTCGACGTACCATTCAGCTGTGCGGCTGTCATGCGAAAGCAATGACGCAAAAACGATTTTTTCGTTTTTCCCTTGAGAGTTGCCATATTTCTTTTTATTATTATTCGGACAATTTTTAGCAAAATGCCCTACTTGCTTGCAACTGTGACACTTGAATTGTTTCGGCTTTGTGTTATTCTTAGAATAAAGTACACTTTCACTTTCTTTATTGTCAAATTTCGGATCTTGAAGTAACGCTGTTTTTACACTGTCAATTGTCAAGATTTTTTTTGAGTTTTCTATAGATTTATTTATTTTTATTTTTTTTTTTAATTTTTCTATAGCCAACATAGGTCGGAAAAAATCCTCTTGGCTAAATCCTCCCCGCGGGTGCCGACTGGGCAATAAGCGTCGCGCCGGTCACCGCGATGGCTTAGCACCTAGGCTAGTACCTAGAGCGGGTCTTGGCGGTGGGAGCAGGTGGCGTCTAGCGAAGGCAGGAATACGTATCCATCCTTCTCTTCCTAGTGCTTTGCTCTGCATATGAAACTGGGGGAGGGGGGTGAATGCCTACTTCTGCCATTGCTAACGAGGTACCTGGCGGTAGGTATAAAACGCTAGGGGTAGAGGTTCCCTGACATAAAAACTCACCATGGAGGCTAGTAAGGAAGAAGAGCGGGCTGGGATATCAGCCCAAACGTCGGTGGGAGAAGGGGCTATTACCACCGGCGGGCACAGCGAGTCTACTTGCTGTGTCGCCAGCGGCCACACCTCCGCTGTGAAGGGAGCGGTTCACAGCGGTTGTAGTGTTACCGCCAAAGCGACGCTACAGCGCAGGGGTGCCACAGTCCACGAAGACTCGCACCTCGAAAGCGGTGAGAACGTTAACACACTAGAAGAGGAGGCCTTGCTACGCTCTCCGGGGGATGCCAAAGGTGCTTGTTCGGCATCAAAGAAAAGGCCTACGGCAAAACCCAGTAAGGAGGGGTTGAAGGCTAAAGCCATATACAAGGCGGCGGTCAAAGTCCACGAGAAACTTAGCTGCAAGTCCAACCGGACGAAGGAAGAGGAGGAAAGGTTGGCTTGGGCTAAGGAGAAAATGGAGGAAGGCCGGGCGTACTACGCGGCAAGGCCACGATTCACTGCCACGGATCCGGGATTCGCAAACCGGATAGAGGAAGGAATCGCGGCTAAAAGGCAGCGGTCAGCTGAAAGCGAGACAGCAAGGCCAGCCAAAAAATCGAGGCGCAGAGACGACGCTGCAAAGCCAAACGTCAGGCTCGATCTAGAGAGACCGACTACATCGAGAGCGGCGGCAATGGCCAGTGAGATAGCCAGAAGACACCTTATCGTGGCACTCATAGACCGGAGCAATCCGCTGGGACAAATCTCTCAGGAGCGCTGGGGAGCAGTAGAGCATAAGCTGCTGGATGCGCTTGTCGCAAAAATGGATGGGGACCCCACCACGACCATGCCAACTTTCGATGGTGCGGGGTGGCTAAATGGGGTGAAAATAATAAAATGCAAGGACGATCCCTCTCTACTATGGGTAAAGGAAGCTGTTGCGACGCTTCAAGGCCTGTGGGAGGGCGCCGTCTTGGAGGTTGTGGACCGCAGCTGCATACCATCCATACCGAAAGCGAAGGTGCTCATACCCCGCACGGTAAAACCGGAGAATGCGCTGCGGCTTCTGCAGAGACAGAACCCAGACGTGCCGACGGGAGATTGGAGGGTGTTAAAGGTCACCAACTCCTGTAAGGAGGATGGCAGCCAAAATTACATCCTCCAAATCAACAAGCCGGCCGAAGACATACTATACGCTAGGTTCGGGAAGATGGCGTGGGGCATAGGTAGCGTATACCTTCGCCTGAAGAAGCGAAGCCTGGCCGATAACAATGCCAACACGCTGGAGGAGCGAGAGGTCGAGAAGGATCTGGGAGAGATCCTGGAGGCCACCTTGAAGCTCCAGGAGACCGAGAAGGGCGATCCGGAGATTCTACCCGACCCCGAAAAGAATCCTGATCCTTGCAGTGAAGGTTCTTCAAATAAATCTGCATAAAAGCAAGGTCGCCTCTGCCGAGCTCCTCCTCAATTTAGAGAGGATCGGCTACGATGCGGCGTTAGTCCAGGAGCCATGGATAGCGTCGGGAAACGTGGTAGCTGGACTAAAGTCGCAAACTTACTATACGCACATCCCGAGTGCAACAAACAGGGTAAGAACAGCTATACTGGTAAAGAAAAGTATACACTCTTATATTGATCTTAATTTCTCTTCAGATGATCTGACGGTGGTAGCTGTGAAGGATGGCAAGGATGACACAATACTCCTTGCATCTTGTTACATGCCTCACGACGAGGAGGCGCCACCAAACGAGCTCCGGAGGTTGGTGGGAGAGGCCGAGAAGGCGAAACGCCCACTCATCATAGGCGCGGATGCCAATGCGCACAACACAGTATGGGGGAGTGGAGATACCAACGAAAGGGGTGAGTCTTTACTAAACTTTATATTAATAAGTAATTTAGATATAGCTAACCGGGGTGAGGAACCAACTTATATTGGCCCTACCTCGAAGAACGTCCTTGACATAACACTCCACACTAGTGGGGGAATCGGAGTACAGAATTGGGAGGTGCTTAGTACACCCTCGTTCTCTGACCATAGGTATGTAGGATTTCAGGTAAAATTCTCAGCCCGTACAAAAAGCGAAACCTTCAGAAATCACAGGAATACAAACTGGGAATTGTATGAAAGGGTAGTGAGGAAGAATCTAACCAAGTATAGGGTAGGTGACTCCCACTCTGAATTGGAGAAACTGGTAGTCTCACTTACCAACACTCTAAATAAAGCTTATCGCATCGCATGCCCTCCGCTACATGCCAAGCGAGGTTCAAAGCCACCTTGGTGGAACAGGGGGCTCGGAGCACTCAGGAAAAATGTTAGGGAACTCTTCAAACTGGCCAAGGTAGCCGATGACGAGTTCTGCTGGATGGAATACAAGGAAGTACTTAAGGAATACAAGAAAGAGATTCGTAAATGCAAGCGGGAGTCGTGGAAGAGCTTCTGCGGCGAATTAGAAAAAACAACCGAGGTAGCCAGGCTAAGGAAATTGCTATCCAAGAACCCGACTAATCCAAGGTTACTACGTAAAAAATGTGGAGAGTGGACTGGAAGCAGTGAGGACTCACTGGAAGACCTAGTCAACACACACTTTCCGGGGTGTACAGACAGCATAGATCTGCAACTTCTAGGAGATAGCGTGGAAAATGTCCCCCCGGACATCATAACGGAAGAAAAAATACGGTGGGCAATCGATGGCTTCGGGCCGTTTAAGTCCCCAGGCACAGACGGTATCTTTCCAGCCATGATGCAAAAAATTTCCGCAGTGCTGACACCATACTTGAAAACAATATACGAGGGATGTTTAAGACTAAACTATGTGCCTGTCCTTTGGAGAGAGGCGAGGGTCGTATTCATACCGAAGGCGGGCAAGGGAAATCCCCTCTATTCGAAAGAATACAGACCAATTAGTCTAACTTCATTCCTTCTAAAGACGCTCGAAAAGATTCTGGACGCCTACATTAGGGATAAGCTGCCGTCGGCCAGCATATCAAAGGCGCAGCATGCCTACACGAAGGGTAGATCCACTGAGACTGCACTTCACTCACTAACCGCGGTAATAGAAAAAGCTCTGGAGCATAAAGAATATGCCCTAGGGGTCTTTCTGGACATAAGTGGGGCATTTAATAATGTCTCCTATGAGGCAATAATGGAAAGCCTAGAAGCAGCCCAGGTAGAGTCTGCCATCCTACTATGGATAAAAAGCCTGCTGAGCTGCAGGAAAATTAAGGCGGAGTGGAACGAAGCCAGGTTGCTCAGACTAGCGCATAGAGGAACTCCTCAGGGTGGTGTTCTGTCACCACTCCTGTGGCTACTCGTAGCGAATGAGCTTCTGGGAAAATTCGACGGGAAAGCACCCAGACTAATTGCCTATGCGGACGACATAGCTATAGTTGTTACGGGGAAATTCCTAGACACCATCAGTAACGTAATGGAAAGCGCTCTAAGGGTCGTACATCGATGGGCGACAACAGTCAACTTAGAGGTAAATGCTTACAAAACGGATGCGGTACTGTTCACAAGAAGGTACAAAATCCCCGCGTGGAAACCCCCGAGGCTCAACGGGGCGGAGCTATCAATCAAGGATCACACCAAGTACCTGGGAGTAATTTTGGACAGCAAACTGATGTGGAAGCTAAATGTGGAGGAAAGGGTGAAAAAGGCCAGCGGTAGTTAAGCCGATATTGCTCTACGGTGCTCTGGTATGGTGGACAAAATTTCGTATAGAAAACCATTGGAGCGATTACAGCGGCTCGCTGCACTGTGCATAACAGGAGCGCTAAGGACCACTCCAACGGCGGCACTTGAAAGGCTACTTGGCCTACCACCAATCGACATCGCGGTGGAGAGCACTGCAGCGAAATCCGCCACGAGATTGATGGCCTTAGGTGAATTCTCCGCAAGAACCTTCGGGCACAGCTCGATATGCAGGGGGATGGAGGACAAAATAGACCACATACCCCCACGCTTCATCTGGGGAAGAAGGTTTAAAGCTACGGTTAAGGAGGGCGGATGGCGCATGAGCACGCGACCCGCCGGCGTAACGTATAACATCTACACGGATGGATCAAAAATGGCTGATGGAGTGGGCGCCGGAGTCTATTGCGCCGAGCTAGACCTCAGGCAACCCTTCAAGCTTCCAGAGTACTGCAGTATATTCCAGGCGGAAGCCTTCGCTGTTGGGAAAGCCGCTGAGATAGCTAGCAACGCAGGAAACTATATAAAAAATATCAATATATATGTCGATAGCCAGGCGGCGATTAAGGCCATAATCTCACATCGTATTGCGTCAGAAAATGTCCTTAGAAGCAGGGAAGCAGTAGACAGGGCGGCCGAGAGTAAACGGCTGCATATATACTGGGTTCCAGGCCACAAGGGCATTTTAGGCAACGAAATAGCTGATGAGATTGCCAAAAGTGCCATCCGTCTTGCTAGCGAACCAGTACGGGAAATACAAAAGTCGCTAAAAACGATCTACAATGANGAAAGTCGCTAAAAACGACCTATAATGAAATTTCCGAAAGAGCTGGGTGCCGGATCAGGGGGAGATGGAACGCATTAGCGACATGCAAAACCACCAAGATCATGTGCAATAGCAGCAAAGGAAACACCCATTTCTTGCTTACACGGTCACGTAGGGATTGCAGGACAGTTGTCGGCCTAATGACGGGCCACAACCTACTGGCATCCCACGCAAGCAGAATGGGCATTAGTAACAGTGACGCATGCAGGAAGTGCGGGGAGGAAGGCATGAGTGAGACGTTAGAACACCTCCTCTGTTTCTGTCCGGCCTTAGCTAGAAATCGTCTTAGATATCTCGGAGCTTCGCAGTTCAAAGGACTAGAATTGGCTCGATCATCAACGTGATCTCCGCCAAAGCACGCTCGTCTTCTTGTATTTCCTTCTCTGTGGGATTCTCTTGTAGCCCCTTATCTACAATTTTCCAGCAGCCTTTTATTGCGAGGTATGACATCGCATGGCGCTTCCAAACGTCGAAGTTTTCATGTCCCTTCAAAGGTTCAAACGTGAAACAAATATTGCTCGTCGCCATTATTGAAGTTTTCTTTAGCGTTTTTTTCGCGCTAAATGTTGTGCATAACTGCTGTTGCCACAATAACACTTTCTACCCGCTTGGTATTCAGCCTAATACGCAGCGAAAGAACAGGAAACCTTCGTTTCCACACGCCATAAGACCGTTCCACACAGTTGCTCGTTCGAATTTGCGATTCATTGTATAGCGATTCTGAAGGAGTACGAACGTTGGATAACGGAGTCATTATCCACTGATTACACGGATAACCGCTATCTGCAACTACCAATGAGTTTCCAAATTGGCCGTCTTCAAAGCGACTGTAGATGCGCGAATTTCGCAAGATAGTGGCATCGTGTGTGGAACCAGGCCATCGAGCTACTATATCTAGTATATTCAAGTCGCTGTCACAAAACGTCTGAACGTTATATGAAAAAAACCCTTTTCTGTTTCGATATAACTCTGCATCATTACCTCCTATAAAAATTACATACATATGCATNAGTGGCATCGTGTGTGGAACCAGGCCATCGAGCTACTATATCTAGTATATTCAAGTCGCTGTCACAAAACGTCTGAACGTTATATGAAAAAAACCCTTTTCTGTTTCGATATAACTCTGCATCATTACCTCCTATAAAAATTACATACATATGCATAAATGTAAATATATACTGACATTTTTATATTTGTTTTTAACTTCTTGCACTAACCTGGGGATATTATTTTTACGTGTGTGCAGTCCAAGGCCGCAAGTACGCGAGGAAATCTGGCTATCAAATAAAATTTTTGTTGCACCTGCCTTTGCCCTTCTGCAGTTGGGTGAAACGCAATGAACTCTCCTCGCCTCAGAGCTATTTGGTGAGAAACCAATCTTATTACTCGAAACTCCCATTCAGTCCCCTCCGGTCCTTTGCATGCAGCCCGTGGCATAAAACCGCAAAGTCACCAGAAGCATTTCCTCGGGGGTTAGAGCACTATTCCTTGAATAAAATTAAATTAGAAGCAGCACACAACTTTTTTAAATCTGGCTTACCATGTTATTTTATGTTGTATTTGCTCCCCTATCATCCGTAGCACCATCCATGCTGCCGCTTTACTTATTCGAAACCTGTCTCGGAAGCTCTTATCATCGAAGTTTCCGAAACGACTAGGCGCATCTCTTCTAGTCCGTGTACGTCGGGCTATTATCACGCGCTCTAAAATTTCACACTCCGCATCGCTTTGATCACTTGAATCCATTTTGCAAATTAAATATTTATTAAATTATTTTCGTTAGTTTATGTATTTTTATATTTTTCTGTCAGTAATCGGCTGTTTCTTGGGAGGGAGCAAGGTTGCATTTTCCATATTTAAATAGCCAATATTGGGCATTTAAGTGCAGTTTAAATATATTTTAAATATACGATCTGAAAATGAATTTTTGAAGTTAGTCAACAATCTCTACTTAAATAGGACATCGGAAATTGGCCCTTAGCCTGTGAATCCCAACTTGGTTGCGGGGAAACGGATCTGCATTGAAAAACAAATTAAATTTATTTTCAATGTTCAAGTTTTTCATCTTACCTTTCCGGCGAGAAAATTCCAGAATCTTATAGATCTGGAGCTAGGATATCAGACAATCCCTTATCCGAACTTTATTAAAAATAACCATTTACAATTCGTTTAAATTAAGTATGTCGTAACTTACTCTAACTGAGCATCAGAAGAATCTCTTGCTAAGGTTTGTTGAACAGCCGGCGTAGTACACAGCGACGGAGGGTGTGGAATGGCCTTTGGCAGCAATCTGGCTTTTCTACCACCACAAATCATGTCGGCCCGCGAAAAGTGATCAACACAAACGACGTCCTTAGGTTTAAATTGCATCCGGCAATGACTACCCCACAACAAGCGTTTGTGCTCATCGCTTGGAACCTGAAAGAACGGCCCTGTTCCTCGTTCCACTCTTTTATAGCACATAGCACACTTCACCATGTCTTTTACATAAAAACTTGGTGCAAATTTAAATCGTAAACGCACAAAACTGCACTTAAATCACGATTTTAACTTTTTCAATTAGAATGTAAACAAAACAAATAACTTTGACATTACACCCATCGCGGCGAAAAACAACCATAAAATCAGCTGATTTTACAACACCAAAGGCGAATTTATACAGCCTTGGCCCATAGGTTTGTATAGTAACCAATTGTCAGTACTAATTTGTACTGGAATCTGCAAATTTTTACTGGAAAAGTNCCTTGTATAGATTCGCATTGGATAATCGTAACAATGGGCGCGTTCATAAGTCGTAGCTGTTGGGTAACCGTTGGCAGTTTGTCTTAGAAACGCACAGTTTAGTAGTTACGCTCAGCCCAACATTTGTCAACTTTCCGCCATTGTTTGCAGCGGAAAATTTTTACGCTACCTGAACTCAACATGTTGGGCTTAGCCTAAACAGCTGATCGAAAAGACTTACTCCGCCTTTATTAAATTTAACGCCACTTTGTTAGGTTATTTTATTTTATTTTGTATTACTGACGTGATAAAGTAACTAAAATATTTTATAATAATACTACGTTTACAAATATATGTTTTTAAGATGTTTGCTATGTAATTTTACATTGTTTAATTCATTGTAACATTGAACGATTTTTTCAACACGGCGGCAGCTCAGCGTTGAATTCTAAATAGTATCGGCTCAACTATCTCTATTTGTTGCAATTTCATTTGTTTACATTTATCAGCTGTTCATTTGGCAGCATATTCATCAAGCCCTTTCTAAGACGTAATTGTTGGGTTCAACAGTTGCCAGCAGTTTCGTAGCAGATGAGCTAAACAGCTACGTCTTATGAACGCAACCAATATTACTCAGTGCGGAACCGTTAGGTATCTCATCTATACGTATAAATACATATGTATGCATATTTTTTATAACTGAAGATAGAGCTCTCTCGGTATAATTTCGAAAGCCACTACATTCTATATTCGCTATGTTTGGTGGTGGACTTTAAAATCGTCATTCGCGTAGAGGAATCAATATTAGTGACAAGCAAAAATTTAAGTGTATGTAAAAATGTCGAATTTCGACAACTGGGCGATACTAGCATGTATAGGTATGCATAGCAAATGATAGGTATTCTAACTGCCTGTACAACGATGCCAAGCTTGTTAAAAAGATGATATAATAATGAAAAGATAAGTGATTAGTGCAGTGTTTATATATAAAAGTACCAGTTTGACCGAGCTTTGCCCGGGGTGCATATACTTTTTAAAGTTTTCAAGATTTGGATAGCTTTGGATAGCTTTAAAAAATATTTTGGTAATAAAAAAAAATTGGATTTTCATATCTATTAAGTAAGTTTCTTACTCCAAAATTTAGGTGGCAACCCTATTCCGAAATACGCTGGATTGAATGGTACATGCCATGAGCGTATATCTACTGTGTATACTTAAAAAAATNGGATAGCTTTAAAAAATATTTTGGTAATAAAAAAAAATTGGATTTTCATATCTATTAAGTAAATTTCTTACTCCAAAATTTAGGTGGCAACCCTATTCCGAAATACGCTGGAATGAATGGTACATGCCATGAGCGTATATCTACTGTGTATACTTAAAAAAATGCTGATTGAAATTAACAAAATAAAAATTTGTATTACTTAGAAACGTGGCAACCTGATGGAAAATATTTTCCGACCACATCTCTCAACAATACCTTGCTTTGTTTGTATAGTACCGCTTGCTGTCTCTGAGGCTCTTCCACGCTGTTTCGCTAGATTCCTCTGAAATTTTGACAATGAGTAAATTAAATGCACTATACTATAGTTACTCAGATATTAGAAATTACCAGGATTACCGACAATTTGCGCGATTTTGTACCAAGCGCTGGAAAATGAGTTTCGGTTACCGTAATCATTTCGCTGCTTGTCCCAAATACATGGGAATCCTTTAACAGCAGAAAGTAATTTCTTCCTCTCTTCGTCATTTATTTGGATTTTTGCCCTTTTGTGGTAGCTGCTGTGTTCTCCACTATTATTCAAATAAAAACGAAACAGTTTAATAGAGTTTTAAATTTATTATTTGAAATAAGCTTACTTTTTCCAATGTTGTGTTAACTTAAAACTTTTCAACGGCTTGTCAATTTCAACAAATGTCACTTTTCGCTCAATTTTAAATGACATAAGGCTTTTAAATGGCGGTGAAACAATTTTGCTGGCGTCATGTTGCTAGCATGTTGCGCGGTGTTTTCACGCCGTGAACTGAGTACTACTTTGCCGTGAGACACATGTGAAATTTCACTCATATTTCACAGTAATGCAATTTGTATGGATTTTGACAGTCATTTCATGTGAAACGCGAACTNTGAGACACATGTGAAATTTCACTCATATTTCACAGTAATGCAATTTGTATGGATTTTGACAGCTATTTCATGTGAAACGCGAACTTAGTACTATGCTTAATGCAATTTGTATGGATTTTGACAGTCATTTCATGTGAAACGCGAACTTCGTACTATGCTTAATTCAAATTGTATGGATTTTGACACCCATTTCATGTAAAACGCAAGCTTAGTACTATGCTTAAGACAATACGACTCTTTTGAACTAGCTAATTCTGGCTTTGTTTCTTTTCTTTTCTAGCAGATAATTATCAGGAAGAATAAGAATGAGGAAATTGAAAGAATAACGCTCACAGAGAGCGAAATAACGAAAAAGTAAAGAAACGCAAAACTAGCAGAAACTAGCAAGTAATCAGCTGATCGGTGTATTTGACTAAAAATTTTACTAGCAGAAATTAGCAGGAGAGACAAAAAAAGAAGAGCATAAGATCGAGAGAGCTGCTGGTTTCTGCTAGTTTTTTGGGTTAAGAAACGCTTTCCAGCAGAAATTAGTGATAATTTGTGATAATTATCAGTTGAGAAACAAAGCTTCTACGTGTGTATTCTACATAATTTAAAAAAATGCCATGTGGGAAAGAATTTACTGACTATTCTTTTAATAGCTCTGATCCAATACTTTTCGTGCAAAATCCTGTAAAAATGTCAAACTGCAAAATTACTCTCTGAAGTGAGAGTGAAAAGTGAGTAACAACAAAAAGTACGGGAACAAAAAGAGGATTTTTTCTGTAAACACGTCAACCAGTGATCACTTGACACATGACACATGAACCAAAAAGAAAAGATCACGCGGGCAGGAGAGTAGCCCGTTAGAATCGCATTAAGGAAAAAAGTTGAACGATTTTGACATTAGCCGTTTGTTTAGATTTCTTCGTTGTTTACAATTTGGTGGTGGCTTTTTACTGCAATTTTCTTAATTTTCGCTTGTGACAACGTGCGTACACATAAGATAAAGAATAATTTAACACAACGGCATGATTTTTAGAAGAATTTGCATAATAAAAATGATTTTTCAAGCGTTCAACAATTTCGCGGTTTTCTCCGTTCTCTTCGTTGTTTACTTCTTACAACAAAGATGGCGTCGAGATCTCGGCAGCTAGAAAATAACTTTTTTCGTTTTTTCCTTCCCGCGTGATCTTGTGTCTTTCGTTCATGGTATTGACACTATTATTTTTTTATGTCCGAATTTTTCATTTTTGCCCTATTATGCCAAGTGGAAATTCAGCATAAGAGAAGTAATATCGATAATAGTAATATCGATTTGGTGGGTTCGTTTTGTTCCGTTATTTCAAAGCCCATTGAAAAAGATTCTAGTTCATAAATTTGCATGAACCAACCATGTCTTTCGTTCATGATAAATTTGTACAATTGGTTTCATAAGCTTTTAAAAGAAAATGCATCGTATGCCACTTTTTCTCCGTTCGCCTTCGGTGCTCTGGAATAGAAATGTACCTGAACACTTGTTGTTTGAAAATACTTTGAATGGGCGTAATATTGAGTAAGAAAGTTAAAGGCTTGAAAGTTGATTCGTTCATTGGACCAAAATATTTTTAGAGAAACTGATGCATTTTTGACCATATTGGATTGTGAAGCAAATGAATTTTGTAAGCGAAACGTTGAATTAGCTGCAAAACAGCTGGAGTTCGCGCGAAATATGGCGAATTGTGATAATATGGTAGCGAAAAGTCTTAGAAGATATGTACATAATTTAAAGAAAAAGCTTGTAAATGTCTGTTTACAGAGTTTGCTGATACTCAATAATATTATATTACGTTCGCCAAAGGATTGTGAAGTATTACCACTGGCTTTAAGAATTCGTGGTAACTGGTATCTTCAACGCTGCTGTTTTCAGGTAAAGATATTTTATTCCGAAATACGGCGACTATTAAGACTACGGTTTTTCAGGCCGCTATTAATGATTTTACAATGTTCTTGCATGTAAATAAAAAAGAAGACGCATTTGAAGATTTGTGTGAGGTGCATGGAAATCTTGCAGTCTCCTATTATTTAATGAGACGATATGATATAACAAAAAGGCATTTGCATTTTTACAACAAATATAAAGGTTAGTACAATGTGTAGTACTTGCTTATGTGTGCAGAGATGTATTTAGTCTATATTATATCTCTATTAAACAGTGAGATTGCCACGGGAATGCTTCACGAATACGGGATTAGGTTGGTATAAAATTTGTTTAGTTCCTTTTTATGTATGTACAGTATTGGCCAATACAATAGCACCCCCATTTCAAAGTGATATTGTTTGCCACTCATGTTTATTTATTTATTTTTAAGAATTTTCAATTAAAATACAGTTCATTCTCTCACAAAACTCACATAAACTCAAGTTTAAAACTTTTTAAAAAACCGCAAATTAGTGCAACAAATTTTCACCCAAATTTCAAACTTTTTTTTCAGAAGCGGTAGAATTTTTTTGAATACACAGTTTTATAGCCCATTCAATTTTAGTATAATAATGTGCAAGTTTCAACTGGCTAAAAGTTACCGTTGATTTTTCAGAATTTTTTTCGCCGAGGATGTTGCGGGTTTCCGCCACATAAAAATAAATTGTGTTTAGTCGTTATATGGAAGCAAATGAGACAAAAAAAAATTAAAAAAAATCAACGGTAATCTTAAGCGACTTGAAACTTGCACATTATTGGACATAATTGAATGCGCTATAAAACTGTGTACTCAAAAAAATTCTAGAGCTTCTGAGGAAAAAGTTTGAAATTTAAGTGAAAGTTTGTTCCACTTTTTTGCGGTCTTTTAAAAAGTTTAAAACATTGGTTTATATGGGTTTTGTTAGAGAATGAACTGTATTTTAATTGAAAATTCTTAAAAACAAATAATTAAACATAAGTGGCAAACAATATCGCTGTGAAAGGGGGGTGCTATAGATATGTCCAATACTGTATACATTATGTAAGTATGTATTTATATACACATATCCCTACAAGAATTAAGCGATGGAAACTAACATTCTCATTTATCTTACTAACCCATATGCAAATTTTGCGTTGGTTAAAAAGAGACCTTAAAATAAGGCCATAAGTTGGAGGAAGACGGAAAAACTTGTACACAAATGTTTACATCAGATTTTGCATACTGCCCTTTAGAATTTGATAGAAACTTGTACGTAGCCAGTGACAGAAATCTCTATCACTGTCATACCTAAACAAAAGCTTCAGCGTTGTCTGGCTGTCAAAAATTCTCATGCCCATACAATTTGTATGAAGCATACCGAAACAACGCGGCGTCAACGCTGAGCGGTTGGAAAATCCGATTTGACGTAGCCTTGACGCTTTTGTTTAGGTATGGCACTTCGGCGCTAACGCTAAGCGTCAGAAACCGCTCCGCCCAACGCTTTTGTTTAGGTATGGCAGTAAGTCTTGCCACTCAAATGATTTGTCAAATGATAGTAACTGTTCTTGCATATATACATATCGAGCCCTAGCCGCCAAAATAACGTAAGCGCCATTTTCCTCAAAATTTCCCTTTTGATGCAGAAATGCACCGATATGCTCTAGGAATATTTTTGCACCCAAAAGAAAATTTTGAAAAAAATTTCGCTTACGTTATTTTGGCTGTTAGGGCTTGATATATGTATACATACATTTGGGCATTTACTGAAGTGTTGACCGAATTATAATAATATCCGGGTTATTTGGATATTAAAACATCTGAGTAAAAAAACCGGATATCCCGAAATTAACTGGTTATGGAGCTCCCGGATAGCAAAATGAAAGGATATTAACCGAACATCCGGAATATAGATGAAGACATATTGGCTGAGATTTCCAATAATGGACCATTTCCTATTTCAGGCGAAGTATAGCGATTTTTTATATAAAATTCGCAGGGGGTGTTGAGGAAGTGCTCATTGACCGATATCTTGCAACATTTTGTGTAGAAATGCTAACAGTTTTATAATTTATTTCACATATCTTATTACATTAAACGAGCAATTCTTGTATATATATATACTGTCCGCTTTAGCCCCTTATTTAGTCTCAGAATACAATGATACGAGGAGAAATGAATTGTTTTTTATAAAGATAAGAGATGCACATCTACTACGAAAACTTGATTTGTACTCCCATTTTTGTAGTCCGAACCCAAAAGAGCGCTCGGTGAAGGTCAGCTAGTGATCAAGAATGATAGAATACAAGATTGCGCCGATCAGAGAGTATTTTTGAGAATAACTTTTGTGTGCCGTCACACTGGTGCAATTGCGAGAGAGAAATGCCAAAACGTGAGCAAGAATGGAAGAAGAAAAAATGTTGCAAGGAAAACATAAACAAGTTGCACAAGTGTGACGTCATGCTAACAACGATTCTGTCAAATTCGTTAAGAGAGGAATAGCGGTCCGAGATCGGCGCAACCTTTGTATTCTCTCAATCGTGGCTAGTGATCTAGTAAACTATACATAGCTATGAAGTGCCATATTGAGGATAAAAAAGTGCCAAAACGTGCCAAATAGAAAATTAAAAGTGCCAAAAAGGTGCCATTCTCTTTAGTTTTTCCAATTAGCATTAAAATTAGACGCATATTCCTAAAACAAAAATCCCATGTCAAAGTGAGATAAACCAGTTGTATACACTATAGAAATTAGAAAGTTTTAGTTGAGAAAAAGAAGTACACGCAAAGGATTTCACAATTTTCCCAAAAAAACACCCAATTTGTGTTGCTGTGTTTAATGGTATTTTTACCTACCTTTTATTAGCTCGGGATGTAACTATGTAATATTGATGCGCCTTAAAGATGCAGCGATTTCTATTCTCAAGTTACATACCTGGGACAGTACGAATGGCAATTATAATAGGGAGGTTTTAGTTTTTTGCTGTTTGTTCAAATATTTTAAGTAATTCAATCTCACTTGTAATATTCCCAACTATGCGCAGTTAATTAATCTAATTAGCAAAATGTTTTTTATTCGTAAAACAATTTGCAAAACTTTACTTGGTTTCTCTAGCGGCTTTATTTTCATGCAATTGCTTACTTTTGTAGAAATGGGCACACCCAGCTAATTAGCAGAATATTCTATGAATTCCTTGATAGAGGCTATGTAAAAATATTGCGTTTGGATTATCTGGGAGCATATAATCCAGAGGAGAACCTCGGCCAAACACTAACATATGTTACCTGGTCTACGAAAAGGGAGCTTACGTGCGAAAACTAGTTTTCTGTGAAAAAGCTGTTAAAAGTAAGCAACTCGTTTCGTCAGTTTCTCATTATCTCGTTAATTGTTCTCCGCGCCGGACGTCCAGTAAGTGTTGTTGTTGGTCCAGTAAGTGTTGTTGTTGGTCGNATAGCCGATTTAATGGCTCTTCCACTGCCCGGACGACTCCCAAAATTTAAGGATTTTCGGATAATGAAACTGCCATCCAGCGAGACGAAGTCCTCAATTTATCGAAAATACATTTCTTCACTCAGTGATGACGAATTGAAGATGAGTGATTGCAGTTTTCGACGGATATGGTCCAAATACATACCCCATGTTACAGTTATGAAACCAGCGGATGATCTCTGCGATGTCTGCCGTGGTAAGTAGCTCATTATTTTCTCATTTTATATTTTATTATTTTTAGTACACTTCTAAGCAAGTTAGGATTTTCTGCTTTTCACCACGTGAAAAAGCATCTCATCTTCCATCCGAATCAACCAAAAAGTGAAAATTGATTTTTTGACACCTAAGCCTTCTTTCCGTAGACCAGGTCACATATGTGTAAGTCAACGGATAAAGTTTTCGGTACGTTTGGAATGAATAAATTAATGAACAAAATAAATACAATGCCACCATGGAATCACGTTTTTAATATAAAATTACCTTGAAAAGGACACCAAAGAACGAAACAACCGCTAAACTAATAAATTNGTAGTGTGTAAGTCAACGGATAAAGTTTTCGGTACGTTTGGAATGAATAAATTAATGAGCAAAATAAATACAATGCCACCATGGAATCACGTTTTTAATATAAAATTACCTTGAAAAGGACACCAAAGAACGAAACAACCGCTAAACTAATAAATTTTCGCGTTTTAATTCCCTAAACTCATTTAATTTATTGTGAAAGGCAAAAAGTTGGCAACAGTTATATCGATGTCAAATTTGCTCATATACAAGCATGGACAGAGAGTGAGCGCCTGCTTAAAGAGCGTAAGCATCACATGCGAGAGCGTAACAAAGTGAACGCAAAATAATTCAAACGTAATTGGCACACTAACACAATCGCACTTTCAGCTCGCATTTACTTGTGGTAGTGATCGCATCTGCTCATATACACTCCTCGTCATTTGAATTGCACGCCCTTTCAGTTCTTAGTATTTACAGTTTTCCTTTTGTTTATTTAATATAAATTTTTGTAAAAATATAGCATATTCTACGGGTAAATGCAATTTTAAATTTTTTTACAAATTAAAACTTAAAAGAGAATTTCTTTTCCATTTCTTGCGCAGCATTTAATATGATATTTTCGTTTTTCTTGAGAGCTGGAAACAGTTCTTAAAAAAGGTCAACGTAGGAGTGTGCCATCCTAATGAACTGCAGTGAATAAGTTAATAATATTTTTAGAAAAATTTCGGATATGCAGTTTTGTAGCCCATTCAATTATAGTGTAATAAAGTGCAAGTTTGAAGTGACTCTAAAATAGCCTTGATTTTTCAAATTTTTTTATCTTTTATTGACAGTGCTGCGCATTTTATTCCATATAAAAATTTTGTCGAGCATACTTTGTATGAGAGAAAATGCGTAGCACCATCACCAAAAAATTGTCAAAAATCACTTGAAACTTGTACCCATTTGTTGACATCTTTTTAACTCTGTGAAAATATTTAATCAATATTAAAAATGTAAATACTAAGGATTAAAAAGTTGAGCTAGTCAAATGACTAGGAGTGTATGTGGCGTACGTTTGGGAGAGTGGGCCTTTTACTCCAGAATGCGTGTGCAGTGGCTCTCATTGGTATACGTGCAATAGTAAGATTCGTTGCCCCCTTCATGTTTGCCCATTATTTTCCCCTGATCTAGCCCGCGAAATGGGCTCGCTTTCAAAAAAGCCCATATGGGCAAAAGTGCCCATGTTTGCTATAGGTTATTGAAACAAAAAAGAATAAAATGGGCCGAGCTAAACACTGCACGGAAGAGGAGAGGAATTTAATAATAAGTTTAAGAAAAC